TCAGTGTCTTTTAGATTATGCAGTTTATTGGAGTAAACTTTTCAGAGTACTTTCCAATGATCCTCTGGATTTCAGAGGTGCCTATGGTGGTATCTTCTGTTTCATCTCCAATTTTGTTTACTTGGGCCTTCTCTGTTGTTAAAGTAAAAGTAAAGGTTTGTAAATCTCACTTAACCTTTTGAAGAATACATTTTTCGTTGCATTGATCTGGTATTTTATGCTTTTTTATTCTCAATTTTACTCATTTCAGCTCTGATCATTATTATTTCTTGTTTTCTACTGATTTTGGAATTCATTTGTTCTTCCTTCTCTAAGACTTTGAGGTGAAGTATAAGCTTATTTTCTTGAGTCTGAGTAGGGGTAGGATAGGATAAATAAAGACAGGTCAAAAGAAGTCTGGGGGGAAAGGGAAAGGAACTGACATTAACTCTAAATTCCATGGACACCCTCCACTAACTTCTCAAGACCATTTTCTAGGACATAAATTGCTAACAGACCATTGAATCTTGGAGTATTGATGTCAAAATCTGGATGTTTTTGCATTCAGCTTGACTGCACAAGGCAGAACACTCACATTAACAGTATCTTCTAAAAGATGTAGTTATGTTTCTCTCCCTTGTTAAAAGACAAGAAATAAGTTTTTTAAAAAGTGGTTAGGGCATTCCATGATGTCAGGGATTGGTTTCCCAGCTTACTCTTTTATTTGGGGGAATTTTTTTATTTTTCAATTTTGTTTCATTTTGTTTTGGTCTTTACCATCCTTTGTCCCCATCCCTAAAGTCATTTCATCCCTGAGAACATTTCCAGAATGTGGGTCTGCAATGAGGAGTAATAGAAGTGCTGGACCTACCACTTCCTGTCTTCATATACACTTTGCAGGAGTTAAAAAATCCACAGATCAGACTGAAGCCGTGTGGCCATAACAAGTTGAAAGATTTCTTCTATTTGATTGAACAAAGAAAAGTAGCTTTTTTAGTTTTATTTTATTAGCTACACATGACATTACAATGATCTTGGCAATTCATACATTTGAGTCATTGGGGTATAATTTCTCATTTTTCCTAATTGTACAGATTGCAGAATCACACTGGTCACAGAGTGACCTATATACAGACAGCAATCATAAAGTAGCTGTTTTTCATCCCAGATAATAATTCAGAAAGGAGTGGGGGATTCATTCTAGAGGAAGTAGAAAACAGATTCTGGGAGACAACCAGTGGTCTCTGGCAATAACCCCATTTTTCCCAAGCCTCTTATCCATTTAGGTACATAGTATAGTTGGTAACCCGTTTCATCTGAATGAGAATCTGAAAATAATAGCTCAAAGACTGTGCATAGGTCCAGTAGCTCCTGCTCTGTGTCTAGCACATTTTGAGTCCAAGGATCTTCTCAGCAATTCTTTAATCTCCTCAAATCCTATCATAAAATTTATTCCAAACCTAAATGAGTAGGAATAAATTCCCATTATTCATAACCAACAACCCTGGCCAATAAAGTGGATACTAAAATTCTTATATGACAGGTTAGTAGGAATTTGAGGCTCAGAGAGGCAACATAACTTGCCACAGAGCTCATACTTGTCTTATGATATACTTGGATGGAGTCTATATTGGCACAAGGTTGTAGAAAATAATCTGTTAATATAGATCAAGCCTATTAAAATATTCAAGCCCTTTGGGGAAAAAAATAAGAACTGTGCATGGTTTTTGTTGATTTTTATGTTTGTTTTTTTAGGACATATTATGCCCATATTGGAGTTCACATCTGTTTTAAATATTTTTTGTCTAAAATATGTACATATTAAATACACACGTACATCAAGATGAATAAATTTAAACACATAAAATAAATTTGCTCTTACACTGAAAATAATTTAAACTAGTTATGTGGGATATTTGGAGTTTATATGTTCAATTAGATGACTTAAGGTCTATCTACCCTTAAGTTTGCCAGAAAACCAGATAGTTGCATCCCAGGTCCAGGTCAAGTTGTGTTGTATAAAATTACTTTTCCTAATTCTTACTTCAGACTAATATAATCATGTTCCTTAAGGGACAGTATCACACAGTACTATGAATCTCATAAAATTTACTAAAACGACTCTCCTGAGAATGTTGTTCATGGTATCAAATAGTTTCTCCTGTACAAGAGCTGATGGGGAAAATCTCCATGCGGCCTCAGGACTGGGACATTTCTCCTGAGCAACTCATTGTTGTTTCTTCTAGACTCTGTGAATATGTGAATGAGCCTGTTTTAATCATCTTATGGTCCTCTAATAATTGTGACCCACATGCAACCAGTGAATAAGGTATCATGGGCCTCATTTTTTTAAGTTTTCTCTGTATTTTCTTGGCAGTATATTCCCCTGGACTCTATTCTGATATTATTACTGATACATTTTAATATTATGTGCATATTTTTGTAAGTAATTTTTAATAATTTTTGGAACTATAAATTATTATAAAATGAATAATGGATTTGTAAGCTGATTGATAATTGTAAGCTATTCAAGGGCTTAAGCCTATACATTTTTAAGTTATAAGGATGCTAAAACTTTGTTTTAATCACTAGTGCCACCATTGAGAAATTATAAAAAATTAATCTACTTTATGGTCTTTCATAATGTTTATAAAAACCCTGACATTACCAACCAGAGAGCTTTGATGTTGCAGGAACTTTATTCTGTACTTAGAAATCTAAGTATTTTATATGACTTTATACATTTATTATTTTTCCCTGAGAAGTATCCCTGGCACAATCTGTTAGTACAGTTCAGTCTCTTTCCTACAGAGCATAATAATTTTACAACATTTTTGTGCATTCTGTTCTGTCTTTGGAATCTTAACTACTGATTGTTGGGTTACTAATTTTCCTGTATTAATTATTTTCCTCATGAGTATAATTCACTCTAATGCTCTTTTCATATTTCACTGGTTCTTTTTAGTTACACATGACAGTAAAATCCATTTTGATATAATTATATAAGCATAGAATATACCTTATTTTATTTCAGATCCCTTTCTTTTGGATGTACATGATGCTGAGACTCACTGTGGCATATATATATATGGCATATACACACACATAGGAAAATTATATCAGGTTCATTCCACTCTTTCCTTTTCCTATACCTCCTCCCAGTTGTGCTTCTTCTATTTAACCATTCAAACCATTTGATTTTTTTTATCCCACTTTTTTCCTTTCCCCAACATTTTAATATATTAATATATCATCCTTCTGTATCTGTGGTCTTCTAAAATGTGTTGCTTTTGTATAAAATTTGAATTGTAACAAAAAAAGAGAAAACGATGCTTCGTGCATAATGCACTTCATTTACCATGCTCTTAAAGACCTTCCCACAACACTCTATGTCTAGCCAATGTCTGGCCTCTACACAGGACCCTACAGTGTGCATCGACCACATTTCACTAAAGTGGTAACATGTTTACCACAGGGTAAACATATCAGGTATGCTTCTAACACCTTTTTAGCATTAAATTGTTGTGACAAACATCATTATATGTTCCCTCGTGGAACTGAGGAGACATTATGTTCAGAAGTGGGATTTCAAGCACAACTTAGATAAGACACTGCCACAAGCTCTCCCTAATCACCTCACCACATCAATGCAGGAGGAGTCCAACTATTGCCCATTCCTGCATACACTGGGTTTCTCTGGATTTCTGATTTTCCCAATTGGTAATGTAAAATAATACTTTATTTTAATTCTCACTTCTCTAATGACTAGTGCATTTGAGTATCATTTATATACTTTCATCTTTAGGGGTTTTCATCTCTGAGTGGGTTATTCACATACTTTGTTTATTTTGTAAAGTTTTAATSTTCTTATTAATGCTTGTGCAAAATTATCTTTTCATCCCTCAAAACACTGACAGAATATATCATGCCTTAATATAACTGAAGAAAAGAATAAGGAACCTTTTCAAAATCACTCACTTCCCCAGGAGCATAACCACCACTTTTGTTCCTGGTCAGTGGTTTGACAAAAATTCATGAAATGTCCCAGAGAGGGGCCAATCCACATGCCACAGTTAAAACCAAAGCAGTATAAAAGTTGAAAAAGATAGGGACTTGTATTTTTTAAAATAAAAGAGGTATGTTTTAAGGAATAGTCAACTTCAGGAAGAAAGTGGGAGGAAGAAGGAAATAAAAGGATGTTGCGACAAAAGTAGAGATCAGCTGAGTCCCCTGACGTCTGTATGCATCTAGCAGGATGATTTCAGTCTCCAAAAAGAGGACACCCAACTTGATGACCTCAAAAACCTCAAGGAAGCATACTGACCAATAGGACTGAGAAATCCAGGGTCATGCAGGCTTTGGTTACAGTGGATCAGGACTCTTCTGTGAGTTCTTTACCTCAAACTGGTGGTCTGTATGATTTCATCCCTAGATTTGTTTCTCAGTGCTGAAAAATGACTTGGGGAAATTCTACCCAGCATGAAATGTCTATACTACAACTCAGGTGGCACACAAAGGCAGAGAATTTCAAAAGAAAAAAAAAACTGCAAACCTTACATAAATTCAACACAGGTTTTTATTCCAGACAGTTCACCAGGGCTACAGATACTTCAAAAGTACGTGCTTTGCTCTCAGTGTTCTAAAAACTAGAGGAAGAAACAAAGCTTCACAACTGCCACAGAAGTAGGCAGTGAGGGCTACAGATGACAGGTGGGGACGCACAGATGGAGGGGAGATGGCTCCCCACTGTGGATCCAGGAAGGACCCCCGGAGGATGTGACACCTGAAATTCATCTTATGATCCATTATATCTAACCAGGTGGAGCTTGCTAGGATATTATTTCATTCAGAGGTAAATTCGCAGAAGCCAGGTCAGAACAACAAACCCTTGATTACATTGAGCATATATTGGTAACTGATCATGAACCAGGTAAATTACAAAGGTTTCACAAGGACAGTTGAAGTGATGTCATCACCTCGTGGTGTCCAGGTGCAGACTGGGCACCTGGGTAGCTGGGTCCTCATTTCAAAGGGACAGCACTGCAGGGAGCTTCACGGTGTGTCCTACGTGAACCAAATGAGAACAGAGAAATAACAGACCTTCATGAGGTGGAGGTGAGAACTGAGCAGAAAATGGGAATGGGGCTGAGAGGAGAAGGAAAGTGAGAAAAAAATCAAAAAAGAAGGGAAGAGCATTGGGGAGGAGGGACGAACAGGACAGATGGATACAAAGAACTCACCAGCGTTTCCTAAACCAAAATCCAAGGCCTGCCAGAAGAGCCAGGGCCACTATCACTGCCGAGAGGATCCAGCCCAGGGCACTAGGAGGTGCTGCAGATTCACGTGGACACCAGGACGTTGTTTCCAACCCATTCCCTGTTTTACCCCCTCACACTCCCTGTTTGCTGTATTAACTATTTTCTTTGAGTTTCTACTGCACCAATCATTCCTCCTATTTTATTCTTATCCCTCTTCAGAGAGGAATCCTTCTTCTATCCTTCATCTTTCTGCATCTACAGATCCCTCATGTTTAATTCTTCCATTCCTTGGATTAAAATAATTGTCTTCTTTTGAGTCTAAAATCCCTAATCTCCCAAATTTTTGCTGGCCCTCAAGCTCTGCTATAGCAGACCGCCTCCCCCCATCTCCAGCCTGAGTCCCACTCTTACCACCCCAGTGGAGGAGGAGGTCCTGCCCTCCTAGGCTGCTGTGCTTCACCCTGCAGGCCAGGCCAGCCGCCTCCCCAGCTGCCACATCCAGGGTTGCTTGGAGATACCACGTGCCATCAGCATTGGGCAGGATGTCACCTCTCTGAGTGCCCAGCTGCTCCTGCTCACCTCGCATCCACATCACCCACACAGGCTTTGGGTAGAAGCCAGACACATGGCACACCAGCAGCAGACGGCCAGGCCCAGGGCTGGGGCCACTGGACAGCCAGGCCTCAGGCTTCACTACAAAGGACAGAAATCACATCCAGACACAGACTCTAACATACACTGAGAGGCTCAGAACTCCACATGAGACTACATGGATATATACTTCCCCCTTCTGGAAATGTCACTTGATATCTTCTTTTTATCCTGATTTTGACTTCAAAATAGAATAATTCTTTGAGATGGGCTACGAGACTGACCTTGTCGCTGGAGATGAGCCTTCCCTGCATCTAGAAGACCCAAGGTGAAACGCGGGCAGGTATCACTGAGGAGCCTATGCATCCTCTGTGTGTAGTCTTGGTTCTGACTGAGCAGTTTGCAGACTTTCTGGGCCTCTTCTCCGCCCTTTGGAGATGGTAACCATGTTTTATTGTGGTAGCTCAGGAAATCATATCCTTGGATAGCTACCTGCTTAAAGCCTAGGAAGCCCTTCCCAGAGTGCAGTTCACAGCCTGTTGCAACCTGTAGATCAAAGGGATCTGGGGAAGAAGAGTCATGAATTAGAGCAGGAAATGGAGAAAATGGAATGAGATGAAAGCAAAAGACTATAAAAGCAGAAGGGAGTTTGGGGAGTTTAGGGGAAGGACCCCAGTGTGGTTTGGTCAGAGGTTCACAGAAAGGGGAACTGGTAGGAGCTGGAGGTGGAGGAAGAGATGATAATATGAGGAAGGGAGGGGATTGTTCAAAGGTGATAGTGATGGTGTGTGGGGGAGAAGGACTTCATGTGAGAGAGCAGAGACTAACTAACCAGGGTGAATGTATCCATGGTAACCAGAGCAGTTTAGATGGGGATGACTGAAGAATGAAATGGGAGAGAAAGTCACACTTTAAGGAGTCAACCAAAGAGTAAGGATGCTAAAGGCACCTGGCTGATTACTGGGGAAAAGGGTGGCCACAGGATGCCTCTGAGGGGAGACGGTAACACACAGCCCTGCAGGCAATGAGGGAGCAGTTCACAAGTGGCAAAAACTGAAGTTTTGAAGAATTGGGTTCTGGTGTATAGCACTTTCCAGGGTGTGGTTGCAGTTTTATGCTGAAGAGAGTGGAGTTAGATTGGGAACAGCGTAGGCTGTTTATTACAGAAATAAGAAGTTCACTGAGGGCTGAGGATACAGCTCAGTTTATAGAGAGCTTGCCTCACATGCACAAGGCTGGGGTCAATCCCCAGCACCACAGATCAAAAAGCTCACTGAGAAACCTTACCTTTCTTCTCCCCAGCAATGGAACTAAACTCACCTTCAGACATGAAGTTATCAGTGTGAAATCCCTGAATTCCAATGGAGTTTACCCGGAGAAACCTTTCCAGATCCACCAACTCCCTGTTACTGAAGTTGCCCCTGGACCAGGGATACAAGTAAATGATGGCATCAGAGCTGCTGTTCCATCTGTGAATCTGCAGCTCCCCCAACCAGCCTGAGCTCAGATGTACCCAGGAATGGTTGTGAAAGGCTGACGTCTGGAGGAAATGGTAGGAGACAGGCTCCTCAAACCCTGTGATGAAGAATAGATAGAATGTGGGGAATGTGACATTGGGAGGAAGAGACTGGGAACAGAAAGCTGTCAGAGTGGGAAGACTCAGAATCTGGAAAAGTGGAGAGCCACCGTCACCTTAGCTGACATCTGCTGGCCACCAGGGTCCCATGCTCTACCAACAGCCTCCATGAGAGCACAGAGGGCTTGAGTAAGAGCACGCAGAATGGGGCCAGTTTGGCCCTCGTTCTCTCCAGGTGTGTGCAGGGGAAACTAACATCACCACCCCCCCTCACGCCCTCCCCCCAGACAAACATACACACACACACACTTGACCCTAACAGGTCTCTTGCCCCAGTTCTTACCATATTCACTGTCCCCTCCTGGGAAGAGAGCAGCGAGCAAGGGGAGTAGCAGGAACAGCATGGCCCTTGCAGATGCTACTTCTTTCTCTAAGAAAACTTGGCCTTTGATTTCTGTTCTAAACAAACCCACCCACAGATCTCTCTTCTGACTTCCGTATTCAACCAACAGACAGACCTCTCCTG